TTTTTTTTTTTTTTTTTTTTTTTTTTGTCAGCAGATGTTGGCAGGTTCGTAGATATGACGTAGTGAGAAGCAAAACAGCAGAGAGGAGGGCTGAGAAAGTTGAGGAGATCTCTACATTTCTGAAGCGCTTTTGTTCAAGTCTGCTGGACAGTTGTTTAAACAGCCCAGGCCTGCAAGACCGACAAGTGCTGCAGAAAAACCTCATTGAGTTAGTCAGTGGGTGATCAAGGAAGTTGCTGCAGTGATTTAAGACATCTACCCTTCATCTTATTGTCCTGTTAGAAAAAAAAAAAAATCAGCTTGAGCAACATTGAGAAATCGGCGAGCTCTAACAGAATGTGTACTGAGGACGAGACACCCTCTGGGGAAGGGTTGTCAAAACACGGCTTCACTGCTACAGGCACCCGCCTTCAATCCTACTGACCCGGCAGAGACACCGCTGCCACCTGATTGCACAGCAATTCACAAATCATTTCACAGAAAGAATAAGAATAATCTATTAAGACGCCCCCTTAGATAAGGACGGGAACGGGAGAGCACTTACCACACCGCGCTCTAACCCCGCTGTGCACAAGCCCACACAGCTCACAGGTTTGCTACCCCATCTGTGCCTAAAAGCTGTGGAAGACCCAAAGGAAGCCTCTGCCTCCTACATTAGCTCAGGTGAGGGTTCAGCTCCCCACTCTGAGGTGCTTCCAGAGCTATTTTTTTTGCCATCAGAGCTGGAGACTCGGACTGGATCAAATGTCTCAGAGGAATCCCTCCACCGGGAAGCCACAGGAACCTGCTCTGCTGAGCACCTGCCCCGTGTACTTGCTCTTGCCCGTTTTCTTGTCTTGGGGTGGGGTGAGAGACCGGCAATGGAGACCTTCCTTCCACAAGGTGCTAAGAAATGGGGCGGCGGCAGCTTGCACGAACCCCGACTTGGAGCTCTTGAGTTTGGACGTCCAGTCACTCGGGTGAGATCCAGCCCTGGACGACTCCTCGGGCTGACTTGACCTCTTCCATCCAGTCTTTTCCCTCCCCTCAGTTTCCTGCATTCCCAGGCTAGCAGGAACAATGATGATAATTGCACATCACAAAGGCTTCAGCATTTCAGCCCGTACCTCTGTACAGGACCTAACAAGAGGCATTTTGAGCAAGTCTTAGAGCAATATTTCTTCACCTTTTTGCAACCGAACTACCAGGTTGCGTTCTGTCACAGCCATGGGTTTCAGTTGCCGCCAAATCAAAGGCTGGCTGTTCTTTGAACGTTTGCTTATTTATGTAACAGCCATGTGCTTTGCTTGCCTCCTTGCCTGCAAGCAATGCTTGAGGTTTATTATTATTCTTTGTTAACAAAATAAAGTTTTCAACCATTTGAAAGCTCATCTCCTGGTACATGCAACTCGGGGTCCACAGGTTGAGAAACACTGTCATCCCACCCTGGTTTAAAAACTCTCAGAGCAGAGATGTGCTGGTTAACCATCCTCACAGGTTTTCTAAGAGGCCTTGTGCAATCAGCCAGCTGAGGTCGAAGCCGTTCCACAAATTGCAGGCAACCTAGGATCTGGCATTTCGGCAGCAAGAAACGAATGCAGATGCAACTTTCCCTTTCTTCAGTAAATGTCTAACCTGCCAAAAAACGCAGAAGTTCATAACCTACCATTGGAATCTGTGCACGCAGACACCCCAATACAGACACACACACACTTACATACGTGTTATGTGTAACTAAACACATATAAACATGTCAGAGACTACAACGAGGTCCAGGAGCCTTTTCATACCTGGAGGCATGACACCCGCTCATCCCTTCAGATTTGCTGTCCTTGTGAAAGAACTACATGCTGATACCTCCCCCAGGTGTATTCGCAGGACCAGCTAATACCCTCTTTGTGCTCCTTAATTACAAATTTACTGAAGTGGGGAACCCCCAGGTCCACCCCACTGCAAGGCCAGGCCCATGTCATGCAGCGTGTCCTCGCCGTTCCCCTGGTAAGGACAGCCAGCTGCGGTGTGCACAGATGTGTGAGGAAGCAGTAGCAATGTGAGTCATGTACCTGATCCCCGGCTTTTCCAGAAGGAGCCATATGGATTGGCTGATCGTTGTCTAAGTTTCGGATGCTTGGGTCTGCCCCGTGGTCAAGGAGCAACTGGATGATTTCCTTCTGGTTCTTGTCGCGAGGCAATGCAGCTGCCATATGCAAAGCTGTGTTGCCATGTGCCTAATGTAGTGGAAGGAAAAGAAAAGAAAAAAAAAAAAAAAAAAGAAAGAAAAAGAGAAACCTCCTGATAAGCTGTGCCACCTACTCAGAATTGTTTCACAAATCTCCATTTCTAGGTCAAGAGCTGAAGAAGCCTCACATGATTACCTACCAGAAAGTGAGTCGCCCTTCCCGGTTTCTCCCATGTATGGCTGCTCATGCAGGAGGTTTGGGGATTTAGATTTTTCTCTCAGAGAGAGCACTACAAACTGGAGGGCTCTGGTGCTTTGGGTACAGCTAACAAGTAGTCCTGCATCAGCAACCATCAACTCTGCAACCATCTGCTAAGTCTTACCCTTGTGTAAGCAGAGACCTGATGAGTTATTTGAAAACCAGAAGGGCAGAGGTCGCGTAACACACGTAGTTATCCAGGAGAAACAATAGGAACTGTTTTACCGGGAAACAAAGTCGGTCTAAGGGACACAAGAGACATTTTGCTGTGTTACCCGTCACACATGGGCTACACAAGGACTGACCACAGCAGACCCGTTTTTACTGCACAGGCCTCCACTGCTCCGTTTTACAATCACTTTGACGTGCTAGGAAGTTGCAGAGACCTTGACACAAGTGAGCGCCAGACCCAGCAGTATATAGGCTATGTGTGAGGCTCAAACTGATCTCTTGGATAGCAGACACCTTTGGCTGCACGAGTCCTGACAGGTCACCAAACCCCTGGCGTTAAAAAAGAGGCGCTCTGAAAGGTGCCAAGACATCTCGGTGTCCAGCTGCCCGTGTCCCTCAGTGACTTCGTGTACGGTGACCACGGGTGGCTTGGCTCTGCAGCAGATGTAATAGACGATGCCAGGCTCCAAACCTTCTTCTGGTTCCTTCCCAGAGTGCTGAAGGTAGTGCTTGGCTTTATTTTCGTGGCGCTGTCATTGAGCAGAGTCCTGAGGCCAAGGGTCTACTGAAGCAAAATTGACTCCAGCCTTGCCAGGTCCAGGATCTGCACAGACCTGCACGATGGACAGAATTCGGTGCGAAGCCGCGGGACAGAGCAGGCTGCGATGTGGTGCAGAGAGGCTCTGCTGTTACCAGACCGTGTAGAGATCTGTGCCCCTGCCTAGTCAGGTATGACTGGTAACGGTTTTAAATGAGAAAAACCTAACAGGCAAATGCACAAGGCAAGGTATTTTTAGCCCGCAAGTCTCATTTAGGCAGCTGTAATTTTTTTTTTTTTTTTTTTCTCTCGGAAACGGCCCTACAGTTGTCACGGAGTTGGAAGGTTGGACACAGATTGCAACATGTATTACTACTCCAGTGGTTCAAAGGAATAAACATGATTTTCAGGTCTCATTTACCACTGAGATGTAAGGGACAGCGCAGCACGAAACAAAACAGTGAAAATCTTAAAAGCTATTCTCAGACGAGGTATTTTTTTAAAAGCCCTGAACAAAGCAGATCCTTGTCGATTTTATCATCCCGTAGAGCCCAGGGATAGTTACAAGCTCTTTGTAGGATTTCTCGTTAACGTGGAAACATCTGCGTGTGTTTGCTGTGTCGTTGTGGCAGGAGCACTTTATAGCTTCCAAATCCAGGCACGGGGCTAAGAAAACAAGGCACCTGGCAATGCCTGATGTCGAAGCCTCCCGTTGACTTTAATAGAGCTTGTGTGAGACAGAGGTCCAGAGCACCAATACGCGAGCTCTAGGAATCCTTCTGATGGAAAAATACCTCCGAGGCCTCAATGCTTTTCTCATTGTGAAACCCATGAGGAAATGCATTTGGAACGGGACAGCCTCAGCAAGCAGTGGGTGAGCCAGAGAAGCCAGAACAGACTCCAGCATCCCTGTTTTCTTCTCTTATTCATACTTGGAAGAGCTAAAAAGTCAGGATGGGTATCAGACAACCTTGCCATCGTATTTCTCACTGTCCCAGGCAGTTCACCAACACGACTGAAGACTCGAAGTGATCCTATCACAGCAGGAAGCTCTCGCAGGATTGTGATCAAGAGACAACAGCAGACTCCCATAGCAAGCTAGCACCTGCCTAATGGGTCTTAAGAGATACAGAAAAAATGCAGTGAAAAGGCAACAGAAGGCCCTTCACTGTGCAGAAAGGCAGCAACTCAGTGTTATTACCCACATTCACAAAGAAAAACATGTTTTCTCTAGTCCAACAGAAAACTGTAGGGAAAAAAAAAAACAAAACACAACAAACAAACAAACAAAAAAACCATGAGGCTGCCAAGTATACGCTTCCCAAGTGAGCAACTCGGTTGATAGAAAACATTCAATTCCTCTCTGATGGACACAAGCGTGTGGATGGTTTAAGGAGCAGAAATAAGACTAAGGGACTGAAAGTCTTGAAATGAAAAGCTAATGTCCTGACCCTCTCAAAAGTGGGAGCCCTAGTCTCGTCCTCCCTTCCCTCTGTCCTTTCCTGCTCAAGGACACCCTTCCGCAGAAGCACCCCGAATCACCCACTTAGTCCTGCTGAGGGGGCAGCTTGTCAAGAGCCAGAGATCTGGCTGAGGCTGCAGAGCAACGTCTTAGCTAAGGCACAGGAATGTCAGGATTTTTGCTTAGGAGGATGGGTGAAGCTGATACATCTGCAAGATAGTGTCACTGCTTGGTCTCTGCTCCGAGGTGAAGTATGGGGCAGCAAGGGGATGGGTGACACGGCAGCACTGGGGAGGTTTCTGGGTTGCCTTACGCAACCTGGGAAGGACCGTGCTTCCAGAAACCCCACACGGAGCAGCCGGCGTTAGCAAAATCTCATCTCGGTGAGCAGGGTTGTGTAGAGTGCCTCAAGTGGGGTCTTGAGCCCCCAGAGTTGCTGCCAAGAGCAAACCATTGCATCATTGCAGGTCCGTTTTCTCAGTCTTCAGTCTAATGTAATAAAGTTCATGGTCCTCCTCAAGTAACCACTTCCCTTTCTCTTCCCTGGTTATCTTGCTGTCCCATTCTGTCAGCTTCTACCTGCTGAGACAGGGCTCTGCCTTTCATGACACAACTCAAGAGTTCAAGCCAGGCACTTCTTCTCAGGTGAAGTGTCTATTTACTGGAAAACGCAGTCTCCGGTTGAAAAAAAAAAAAAAAAATCAGATTCACAAACTCTTGCTCTCTCCCTCCAGAAAAGAATATGTGTGGGAAGAGAATAACTGTTTTCTGCAGGACCCCACAGATCTCCTCACACCTCTGCATGCAGCCTCCCAGCACAGCACGGCTCTCACTCTGCTCTCAGCATCCCTTTGCCCGTGGATGTGCACACAAATCCCGTCCACGCACGGCCTGACTCACCTTGTTGTTGACAAAGTCCTTGGACTTAAAAGCATTCAGCTCCAAGAAGTATCTGAGCAGGGAGATGTTCCCATCCTGGACTGTATAATGAAGGACTGTCTTGTTGCTTTTCACATCCTATTTAAAAACAGGAAAAAAAAAATAGCAATGTCCTGTGGAACAACCTGAAGATTTTATAGAAACTCATCGGAGAAAAGTCCAGGCCAGCTCTGCAACGACTGCTGAGAATCCCCTTCCCTTCCGTGATGCTCTTACTGCCCAGCGCTTGCTCCAGGCTGCAAGAAAATAACTCCAAAAGGCAGCAACTCACTCTGCTACCAATCACTTGAAAGGCGAATGGGCTTGGTCCTTCTGCCAGCAGTTCACTCCTTCTCCCCTTCTATAGCCTGAGCATAGCACGAGCATCAGGCAGGGCAAGAAGCAGACAGGTAACCGAGCTGACTCCTCACCCGGCTGTAGATGGAGGCTCCCGTCTGCACCAGGAGGCGGATACACGACTCCAGCTCTTCACTCTGGTGCTGAAGATCTTTCTGCTGCTCCTCCGTCAGCATCTGGCAACCCTGCTCCCGGAGCAGGACGTTGTGGGCCAGAACAGCACAGTGGAGTGGGGTATGGCCTGGAAAACCAAGCACAGGAGGAAGATGACAGCAGCTCCGGTGAGGATGGTGAAGTACAGAGAGGAAGCGAGGGCTGGCCGGGAGAGCATCTGCGTTTCTGCATTGTCAAGGCACCGTCCTTCTCTGGTTTCCAAGGTACCGTATCGCCTGCACAGACAATTCCTGGGGTACCCAGTTCCAGCTGTGCACTGGAGCACCACTGGCTCCCCAGCACCGCTGAATTCTGCAGCATTTCAGCGCCCAGCAATGACTCTCCCCCAGGCACTTTGAGGCCACTCTGGCCTCCTAGACCCCACCAAACACCCGGGAGCAGCAGGCAATGAAATAGCCAAGAGAGTTTTTAATTTTATTTTTTTTTTAATACCGCTATAAAAATATTTGTACAAAGGGATTTACCTTCAAAGTCCTTCATTTCTAAATCAAGAGGGAAACCCAGTGACAGTATAACCTAGAAACAACAGAGAAGCGGAAAAGTTTAGTTCAGCCAAAATTTAATTCAGCCAACTGTCCAAGCCAAGTTCAATCAAAAAGAACAAAATTTTAAAAACCCAAACCAACCATCAGATAATCATTTAACTACAAACTAAGCCATCTGACACTAGATTTCAGTGTTGTGTAGCTATTTCCCAACAGGGACACTCAGGGCTACACAGGATGATCACGTTTCCTAAACCCCGCCTAAGTATAATATCCTGTTAAGTTCTCAGTTCAGAACAGTAAAACCAAGTCGCTGCCTCCAGCTCAAGAGCGTTAGCCTCCGCGCTTCCACCCTGCATTAAGCAAAGTCACCAAATAACACCAAATCGTATTTATTTTGAGTTATTCTCGGCAAGGATAAATGAAAATCTCTCCTTGACACGTACAGCCAGACTTTATTACCTGAAAGTTTGCTGACACCAGAAATTCTCGGACTGGGTTTATTTGCTTTTTCTTTTTAACGTGCAGCAGATGTTAAAATCACAGCTTGTTGCAGGGACTGCAGCAGGGAGGATGCAGAGCCTGAAACAGCGGTCTGGAAATGAGCATTGCTTGGACTGAGCGGAGAGTAAAAATTTTAAAACTCTCTGACTTCCGAAAGCGATAGATTTGATGTGATGTAGCCAAGTAGCTCCTTGTCTGTCTTACTACAGATAATACTTTTTTTTTTTTTTTTCTCTTGATTGAATAAAGCAACTTGTTCACATCACAGCATCTTGGCTGAGAATTTTTGCAGTTCAGTGACTCATCCAGAACTTTATCAAGTTAGACAAGGCACGGGACAGAATCCTTCTGCTGAAAGATTATCCAGAATGGTTCAGGCCCGTGCTCTCGTCTCGTAACAATAATATAATATGTAAAGATCAAATATTGACAAGTAGCTCTGAGCTGCCTGATGATTAGAGATTAGATGTTTAATTCATCAGGAAAAACGATTCCAACAAACCAACCAACTGTAAAGCATTTCATGGCTTTGCCCGTATCAAGAAGCAAACCTGTGTGTTTTCCTCTTTTTTTTTTTTTTATTACAATGAGAAAAAAAAAAAAAAAAAATTAACACACTTTTTCCCGCTGAACGGAACGCCTCTTTTCCAGAGAACTGACCGCGTTACACATTAACTGCCTGCTCACAGCTTAACCCGGGGCATGTGCAAAGCAGAGATAACGAAGGCTGGAGGCGGGCCACCAGCACGGCAGGTACCCCCTGGCACCTCCACTGGCACACCCCTCCCTCTCAGAGGACCCTGTGCCCTGCCCTCAGGGAAACTCAGCAGCAACCACGCTGCTGCCATCAGTCACAGGATTGTCTCGGTTGGAAAAGACCCTGAAGATCATCCAGTCCAACCAACTGGTTGACAACGAAACTCTGCCTTGAAGCTGCCTGTGCTCAGTCCTGACATGAAGGCACGTTTTAAGGCCGACAGCTAAGCATTTAAGAGACACATTCCAGTAGGCTTATCTCCGCTATGTAATCCCTTCCAGAAAATTCCCGTGGTGCCTTCTCTAAAGTGGTAATTTGCTCCTCAGAGTCTGGCTGGCACTAGTCCCTGCCTACAGAAAGATGTGTGTAAAGCAGTAGGGAAGGGAGGATCTGGCCATGTAAGTCGTGACAGCCCTAGGAGATTCTGGCCGTAGAGGACTGTCTAGTTTCTCTCACACCCTGGAAAAATCTTCTTGATGGATCTTGGTTTTGCATAAAATCTGAAAAACGTGTCTCATTTGGGAGGCTGTGCCTGCGCTGGCTCTGTCCGCAGCATCCTATCTGCTCTCTCTTCTGTTGGCTTGATCCTAGACACAATTCATTGCTCCCGTCTGGATGATGCTGACATCAGGGAGGGGGTTTCACCCTCCCTCTCCTCACACCCCACAGCAGCCTGCAGCCTCTGGGGAACCCCCTCCAACACAGGCATCAGTACAACACTGAGGGCTCAAGACAGAGCAAGCCCACCCGGCCTGTCATCAGCAGATTTAGAGCTATAATCTACAGAAAGAATTTATTTCCCCCCCTAGATACATAAAAGCCATTTCCTCTGTAACAGAAGGCTGATGTCGGTTGCAAGTATCGTCCTAAAACAGGAACAACCTGGGAAGCTGATTCCTAACGCAATGGAAAAGGAGACTTTGGTCAGTCTTCATTGCCTGCTGACATCTTGCCTTCCGAAACAGTTATTTAAAGACGCCACTACTGAGACTTTATTGTAGGTTGATATCGCTCGCGATTAAAACCGTAAAAGCTTTTCCTACCTGAAGAACTTGGGCGTACCCGTACGTGGCAGCGAGGTGTAAAGCTGACTGCCCTTTGTTGTCTACAGCATTGACATCTGCTCCTGTCTGGAGCAAATCATAGACAATAGCTGGCTGCCTGGCAGTGACAGCCACCAGCAGAGGCGTCTGAAAAGAGCAGCAGAGCAGATAAAATGTGAGAGTCTAGAAGCAGATGCTGTCATAAAACAAGGAATGAGGAAAGGCATTCTGGGCTGGCTGGTATCTAGAATCCCGAGGATGATGGTGCATAAACCAAAGACAACTCACAGGCAGACTTTTGAACCCATGGTGACACAAAACGGGGGGGGCATTTCCCACCTTCTGCTGACCCTCTAAGTGTTCTTCAGCCCTAATTTGGATGACCACCCAAATCCTGCATTTTTGAACCCCTGTTTATGTCAGGTGCAGCACCCCTAGCATAAATCTGCCCTTCATAAAACTTTCGGCCTCAGAGGCTGTTGTCAACACGCACATATTTTCCAGGACCAGTCTTAGGTCACTCTATGAACCAGGGGCTGAAAAGAGAAAAAGCTCATTCTCCTCCCACCTAATGTTAGGATCCTACCAGAGGCACCTAAACAAGGCAAATCAACGTCGGAGGCTCCCTTTGCCGTGACAGAGAGACAGCCGGATTTTCCAGGGCATCGGTTGCTCTCAGTCATGCAAAGCCCATGCCCGTCCCAAACACCCCTGTTTGCAGGATGAAGTGCTCCGTATTACCTTTCCTCTGTGTTCCTTGGCATCAAGTCTTCGCAGCAATTTCATGCGCTCTGCAGCTGCCAATGTATACGCCCTCATACCTTTAGCTGCATAAATATGTAGAATTCTAAGACAGTAAATAAAGACACCGATCACTGCTCGGCCATGAATCACCCTGGGAACAAACAGTTTTACAGGGTAACATTGACATTTTGGGGGGGTTATACCTAGTGTTCCGCAAAACCACCCCACTAAGCCCCAAAGGGCTTGACCTTGAAAGGACCCACTCCCGTGGAAAGGGCTTCCTACCTCAAAATTACCGCAGCGTTCAGGAGCCCTCAGCACTCCTGAGCTTTGACATGCTGTCTCCTTTCCACTCCAGCACTTTTTCAGGTGGGATTTGCCCTTGAGCCGGGAGGTATCTAAGTCCTCCACCAGGCCGACCCTGGGGTAAGTTATCACTTGTGGGGCATGCGCTGATGGTATCTCCCCATCCAGGGTAACAAACAGCCTCTTCTAGATGGTGTATTTGTAAACACCCCGTTAAGCTCTACTTTATCAAAACTACTGGTGAGAGGGACCAAGTCCTTATCTTGTGCCCAAGACAAAGAGTTGTCACAACCCATAGCAGTCAGAGGCTGGTGACATGGCCCTTAGTGACAGGGAAAACACTTCACTGCTTCACTCTGGTTTTGTGGCTGGAGTTGAAGGAATCGCAAAGAGCCACTCGCCACCTCTGGTCCCCCAGGTCCTACCTGAAGGGTGCCAGGCACGGTGCTTGGCCCAGGAGCAGACCGTCCTAAGGCAGTCCTACCAGCCCTGTTCCACTCCTGACATTTGACACTCGTTAGTCAGAAGGTGGTAGGCAGTGGTTTCTTTCCTCAGGTAACTTTGTACCCCAGAGCCACACTTTGCCGTTTCAAAAAGTAAAAACACAACTTTGTGGCTAAGTCTGATTTTCAGTCAAGCTCAGGATTAGCTGTGGCTGCGCACCCACGCGTCCCCAGGGATGCCAGGAAAGGATAACAGTGATGGAACACCCCGATCTGAACTGCAGGAGTGCTTCTGTGAGCAAGGACCGCTTGAGTGAACAGTGCCTCCAGGCCGCATTTGGGTCATGGAGTTCCTCCTTAGCCTGCCTTCAGGTGCAAAATTATCAGAAAGTCTAACAGCTACTCTGTAGTTCTACCCTGTACATATGTTAATGAACTAATCGATTGCCGAAACAATGATGGGTTACCCTTTTGGATAGGAAATAAAACACTCTAGGCATGTGAAAGTTACTGCAGATCTTTATTGAAAAAGATTTTGTCTTTTTCTAACCAGAACAACCCAGAAAGAAATTCTGAAACAGTTCTTTTTTTTTTTTTTAATATTTACACACAGAATTTACATACATTGAAGTGAAAGAAATTTAAAAGCAGTCTTAGCAACGACAGGCTCGATTCATAACTGCATTATCCCAGTTTTACTCTCTCTGCCTGTGTAAAACTGGAGTAAGCAGTGGTGAACTAAGCTCCTTCTAATTAATTTCTTTGCTGGGTTTTTCTGCAAATGTAAGCCGCTAATTTCAATGCACCTGCACTACTGCTATTTTCAAACAACTTTATGATCACCGACATGATCTATTGCTTATGTCTTCCAGATTGGTCAATATTAAATAACAAAATGCTCTTTGAAAGTCCTCAAGACTTTCGACCTGAGCTTGCAAACCTCACTCAGGCATGAACTGCACGGTCACTTGAAGTATTGCCTGGGTGGCAACTGAAATGCTGGACACCAGGTAATAAACAGTGCGATAAATTATTTTGCAGTTGGTCTTGCAAATAATAAAATCACCTAAGGATCCTGGGCTTTAGAAAGCAGAAAAACCCAGAGAAATTGTGTTCACCAGCCAAGCATCCCTTGTTTATTAAGAAAACAATGAACAGAGTTAGAAGGGGATATATCTCCTGCAAACAACATTTACCCATGGCATGGCACTCCTCAACATCAACAATAATATTTACAGTTGCGTCCATCAGAGGAAAAAAAAAAAAAAAGTAAAGCTACTCATTCTCCAGGAAAGAAAAATCAGAAAGCTATAAAGAAAAAATTGTGTGCGCCTTTGGGCCTGGGAAACCGCAGCACAGCTAAACTTTCCATAGCAGAAAGGCACAAGAGAGGTCGCTAAGGTTCCCTGGCTCAGCACGACATCACTGACTTGACACTCGAATGCTACAGAGCAGACAGAAGTATTGCTGGCTAAGGGTAATGCCATGAATTCCTTGTTAGACTGAAGCGCAGATTTTTGGAAGACCCTGTCTTCTCAATCATCTCCTGATACAGGGCCATGTCTTGCAATCCTGACTCAGGCAAAACTCCCGGTGACTTCAGTGGGACCAGGATCTGTCCATTGGTAGAACACGCAGCATTACCAGCCAGCCACAGAACCAGCCCCCCCATCTCAAAGGTGGACATTCGCAAGTCCAAAACCCTTCTGCACCTGAAAGAGCGCGACCCCAAAGCACTCCGCCACACCTACACGGCTGCTTGCTAACGGCAGGGCAAGGTGAGAACTTCAAAATTAAAGTTTTGTGTGAACTCCAGCGTTTCATCTAAGCTACTTTACGTTGCTCTGTAAACAGACATATCTGACTGCTCTGGTGTTTAGTTCAGCTGTAATGATTTTTTTGTCTTCGGACTAACGCACCCACCTGCCCCAGTGGAACAAAACTGCACTGTACATTTTCCCATTTCCCAAAGGAGCCATTCGATTTAGGAAAGGAAAATGTCAATTTACGCTCTGAAAAATGTTTTGTGGCAGCCTAGATCAGGTAGAGGTTCCTCCACGGGCAGGGCAAAGACACACACAAGGCATTTACACTGAGCTTTGGGAAGCAGCCCTATTAAACTAGGTCTTGTCCATATTTTAAAAGGCACGTGTACCCCCACCAGATGCTACAGCCGCCCACAGCCACACTGCAGTATCTCAGTTTGAGACCGTGCCCCGTGTCTGAGGATGAAAGTCACCTCGTGCCGATGCTGAGCACAAGAGCTATGCAGTACCAAAAACCTGCCTGGGCAAGGTAAGAGGAGCTGTAACAGCAGAGAAATCTCGTGCTGAGCCCCAGAGCAAAGCGAGTTTCCCACAACACACAGGTCATGTTGCGCTAGAGGTGGACTCCAAGAGTCACAAGTAAAGTTCCTGTCTCTTATACACAT